TATTCTACACTAACCCTGCTAAGTCTACACTAATCTGCTGGGCAGCGATGGCTGCTTCCCTCCAGCGCCCAGCCTTCTTCTTCCCTCAGCGCATCTCCTTYTTCCAGCGCTGCTTCTGCCTGACTAGCGCACAAGTGCACCAGCACTTCCACGCATTGAATGCCAGTGGAGATCTGCGTGGAATGAGGCTGGCAGCTCCTTAAGTAGTGCTGGCCTCTCCCCGTTGGGTCTGCATTGTCTCAATTCGGCCTGTCCTCTTGTCCCAGACCCTGCATTGCATGTGTCCCAGAGCATTCCCAATGAAAAGCAACTGCTGTGGAGGCCCTTTGGCCTGGATACGAATTTTGAAGTCTGGATCTGGACTGCCCCCATGACTCAGACCAAAAACTGGGACATAACTGTTGACTTCCTTTTGAATAGTCACATCTAGACGAACAGACACAACTTCTCTTCTTTACACGAACAGGCACAATGGCTGCTCGTACAGACACACCTTATTCATGACCTACACAACTGCTGGCGAACAGGTAAGTCTTTTGACAATGCCCTTTGCTTCAGGATGTGCCCGTTGGTAGAGAACTTGGACTCTTGACCTGCTTTTCACGTTTCTGAGCCCTGGCGAGATACCTTTTCAGGCTGCTTTACTTTTACATGGCCCACGGTGCTTAGTTACAAGGCCTGAGGCCTACATTGGGTGAAAAAGGCCCTTTCAGATATGTCAGAATCATTTGGGAAATAACAGCCACGACTAATTGTGAGAAAAAGGTGGGGTAGAGCAGTGGTAAATCCTCCCAAGGGCGTGGTAATCAATGCCACTGCCTCAGGATCTCCCGACCGTAACGGGGTGGTGTAGAATGAGTACGTCTGATGTCAGGGAAGCTGAACCGGGTTCCCAGCATTATTGATACAGAAGTAACAGAATCTGATTTCTGTTGAAAAAAGGGATTGTAGGATCTAGAGAGAGAACGTGAGTAGACGGGTTTCTTAGTAGCTGCGTCATAGATAACATTTCCGCAATTTTCCGGATGGTGAACCCAACAGAATCGCTGGAAATTACAGGGGCTCTTGGCACACAGTCATAGGGGGTCGAAGTTCATCAGACCCCCTATGACAGTGACCCCCTATGACAGAATTGGGATTGAAATCTATGCGGTCGTTTGTATAATCCATTGCATTGAGACAAATAGCGTTTTCATACTTCCATCCAAATACCATATTGGCCAATATGGACAGAATTGGGGTACTACCGTACTAGTGAACTGTCCAAAAAGAGGCTATGTTTTCTAAACATTGGCCTTCATCATGACCCTGCTGATGTAACGGATACGGAAAAAAAGCCCGTCTTAAAGGTCTGTCATCCTCAGGCTGTTGGCAGAAAAGCCTCGCAGACCGGCCGGAACTGTATATAAATTGGCCTTCATCATGACCCTGCTGGTGTAACGCATACGGACCCCCCCCCCCCTTCTAAAAGGTCTGACATCCTCAGGCTGTTGGCGGAAAAGCCTTACAGACGGGCTGGAACCCGCGCGGTACGAGTATCTTGCAGCCGAGGTAAACAGAAATAGCTGTCAGCTTCGATGTCTTGAAGTGTGACAACAGAGCAAGCCTTAGGCTCCTTCTCGTCGGAGACCTGATCACCAATGGAGGTTGCGAAGCCCGTACTCCAAAGCCAGAAACCGAGGTCGTTGCAGAATCAGAAGGGAGGGAGGTGTAGACATGGGAACAGGGGTCTAGGGACCGGACGAGGGCATGGTCTCCCTCGAAAGCAGCGTGTCCATCACCACTTCAACGATGGACTTCTGTCTCTCGGAAGACGAGGTTGAAGCCTCGACGTGGTCCCCACTTATTCCCGAGCATACGTGGATGAGAGGAGAATTCTTTACGAACAGTTTGGGAAACTTTTGGTAGCTCATAAATGGGTTTGTGAGATACGCGTCCAAGCACGTAGTAGTATCATCAACCGCATCACCCACGATCGACATCAAAAGACGAGGTTGAAGCCTCGGCGTGGTCCCCACCTGTACCCGAACATACATGGAGGAGAGCAGCATTCTTATGAACAGTTTGTGTGCATTTTTATCCACTGCATCACCTGCGATCGACATCAAAAGCCGAGGCTGAAGCCTCGGCGTGGTCCCCACCTGTTCCTGAACATACATGGATGAGATCCTGAGAGGAGCATTCTTACAAACAGTTTGGGATTTTTTTTGGGTAGCCCATAATGGGTTTGTGAGATACGCTTCCAACCACTTAGTTAGTATCCATCAAACGCATCACCCGCGATCATCATCATCATACCTCTTGTGCGAAGGAAAGAGATGGAAGACAGGATTAAAATTCATTAAATGTTTCCAGCACTCCGCGAATGCTCCCAACCCTAGACCTAAAAGTGGGGTCCTCAGGGAAGGAGGTGATCACAAAAAGTGATTCAACAACCATCACAGTCCCTTCCCGCAATCGGCACCATGACTCGAAGAACATCGACACACAAAATATGGAGGTCTGTAACTCCAGATATTTATAAACTCTCCAAAGGGGACGGGATTTTCAGGTGGGGCACTCCCTTTGATATCTACAAATGGAGCAGAGTGTGAACACTTCTGAATCTCTGATGCATTAACATCACTCATGGATGGACAGGAACGTAACTCCATCTGATTTTGCAGATCACTACAGAAAAAAATGAAAAATGTGCAAGTAATATGAGCGAGAGCGATAGACAGAAATCCAAATTGCAAAATCACACTGAAGTCCAGATAGTCATGTACCAAGCAGAGAGCACAATGCACCAAGCTACCATCCAAAAAAGAGCAATACAGTGAACTCAAATGCCGATGCCGACGCTCTCTGGCCACACCAACATAGTATCCAATGTCGCTCCTACTGAGTGACGCCCAGCGCCCAGCCCACACTACTCAGTCTGTCTAGCCTGTCTACGTTCATGCAACGGCAACACATCGTAGTTGAAGACCAATGTACGTTGACGCCAACGCCAATGCAGACCGCCAGCATACACCAGGTACGTGTCTCACGGATCTCCTCATCACCCCCTGTCTGCCCCACAGTGTGCTCCCCATCACCTGAAGACCACCATCGCCATCATCAAGTATGCGACCAGCTGCCCGGCTATGCGTGCGCCCACTGCCACCGCAGCGCCCCTCTCACCTCCAGCGCCTGTGCGCACCCTGGCGAGCAGCGCTAGCGCAGCAGCGTGGGCACATTGCCTGCACAGGCCAGAATGCCCCTGGCTGGAGCGCTCACTTTTGTTTATGGAAAGTGAGCCCTGCTTGGCTGTGCCTTGGGCCTGGCTGGGCGAGTTTCCAGTAGCTTCCAGTCGGGCCCCAGTGTCTGCGCCCAGGCCCAGTTTCAGATACTGCAGTTCTAGTCTAGGCTGTTTGTGAGGTGTTAGCAGTCGGTCAACCAACTAATCAAAATGAAATAAATTATGTGAGCAGATGCATGCACAATAGGTATGGTTGTGTATGACAGTTGAGTCTCAATTGGAATCTTTCTCCCATGTATCCAACGTGCCTGTCGGCATCATCAAGCGGCAGTGTCTAAGGTGTGCATTAGCGGCCCACCCTTGTGCCCAAGGCATATGACGTCCAGGTAGCCCACGAGGCAACAAGTGTTCGGCGCAATCCCATTGGCTCGTGGCATGTGTATGACTAGGAAGCTGCTTTCTCATTGGTCCGCAGCCGCTACATGACTTGCCGGCCTCTGAATGTGTGTGTCCAGGGCATCAACCGAATTGAGCCCTGGGCTCAACTGTACGACGCAGCTGCTGCTCCTGGAACGAGCCAGGAAGGCTTGCGTTGCTCTTTAACCAACTGGCAAGCTGTCTGGTACCCCACATATGAAAAATGGCAAAAATAGGCCTCACGTGGATATATGCAGGCCCGCCTTCACTTAGGGCGGGCATGAGGCTTGCTGGGGGCGTGAGCCCAGAACGTCTGTGTGCCCGAGAAGGGCCTTGCGAGGGCTCAATCCTCGCAAATGAAATAAAATAAAATAATTTATTAATTTCAATTTTTTATTTCTAATTTGGCAAAGAATTTCGATGTGACGCTGAAGCAAACGTTGTTCAGTTTATTTTTCTACATAACATAGTCTGCTTGGCAGTGATGAGCAAAGTCTGCTTGGCAGTGATGAGCAACCGGAATGATGCCCCCCAGAATAGAAGGGGGCAATGTGTTCTTCAAAGAAAAAAACAAAAAGAAAAAAGGTGAAGGTCCGGGCTTGACCGGGTAACGTCAAGTTTTTCCGCTGCTGCTGCTGCCTTGAGCCTCAGGGTATTTGCTGTTTAGACTCTAGAGTGCTGTTTTTCACATTTGTGAATTTTGTGTGTGTTCTGTTCTGTGTACTTATCTCTTGCAGGTTCAATATGTCCATAAATGCTGTCTTTGTGAACGACATTGTTGACTGCGAGGACGATCAAAAGACATTTGATGTGCACGGCGTTACACGGGATCAAGGCCGAGATGTTGTTTATCTTGACCGCCCACACAGCCAATTGCAGATGCTGCTGAAAAGCAGAGTTCAACTTGATGTTCTTCTCATTGCATCGCCTCGGAAATGGGGTCCCGAAAATCCAAGGGTTTATGTTTACCAGAATCAGGTCGTCGATTACGACTGGAAAAGAGCTTATGATGTGGCATTAATGAACCTAGGCTCACACATTGCAGCGGCGGCGGCGCCGCCGCCACTTCCACCACCCCTTCCCTCCCATAAACCAGGTCACAAGGAAGATGCAGGAAAGGGATACAGTATGGAAGACGGCGAGGCGCTCCGCTTTACCGGCGTGCCATTCTTTCTGACGTACGTGCCTGAGCATTTCCAGGTGCCGGACTCTCGCTTGCCCGATACCGCATTGGAAGACCTGGAGTCGGCAAAGGAGACGAATGGATGGGCATGTGCAGTGATGCGCACTCTGCCAGTGAATAAGAGTATGGAAGAGGAGATGATGCAGATGTGGAAGCGAATAGCGGCTGCAGAGCATGAGACCCTTGGAGATAAATTCGGATTCCGGATCATCGATGGTTCTGCGATGTCTGTGGCGCGTGTGGATGCCCATACCATGTATTTACGGAGTGGCAGGCCTGACGGACTCGGAGCAGAGGCTCCGGTCTTTGACTGCACTGACTGGTGTCTTCCGGGTGTCCCTGATTCCTGGCTAGGGCTCTTTCAGACCCTCCTCCTGAGAGAACTGCAGAGCATGAGAGAGTGCGTGCGCTTGGGGCAATAGCGTAGGGACAAGCTGAGTTCTTTCGAATTTGGCCGACGCTTAGGAGAGAAGTTAGGACGAGTCTAGAGTTCTCCGGAACTGGGGCGACCTTTTATTGTGTGTTCTCACAATACCTCATGTTTTGTTTGCGATAAATCACGTCGGGTGCAATCGAAATAAGCGTCCTCTGGAGTGGAGTTTAACCCCTGTTGTGCTAATTGCTTGCCACTGATCTCCAGGGTCGGCAGCGGAACGTTCTGGACGTTGAAGAAGGCTGTTTGTCAAAACAGCTGGAGGTAGAGGGACCTGTACGGTATTCTGTGTTGTATCGGCATGTAGGTAGAGGGACCAAAAGAGAATTGAGCACGCACGTATGTATGAAGCGAGTACGGATGTGTGTCCGTGTCTTGAGCATCGTTTTGAGAGTCAGAATGGCACCATGTAACTTTCGACTACACTAGGGTAAAGCTGCTTACACTCTCTCAAACAGGGTGAAGTTGGTTGCCCTGGCCATGGATGGTCCTTGCTGAGAGGGGGAGGAGGGGGAAGGGGGAGGGGGGGGGAGAGGGGGAAGGGGTTTTAGAAAGTATTTGTTGGCATTTATTGTCAGTGACAAGAGAGCGACGGCGTGGAGCTTGCAGCTCTTGATTTCTCACTGTAGATATGACTCATATGAGGTTGTTCCATCTCTGACAGGAACATAATAATTTGCTGCCATCTACCTTGCTTGAACAGCTGTGCACACACGTGTTCTTTGCCGGATGCACGGCTACGCGTGCGAGGATCGTATGATCTTGTGGTGTCAGCTTCCAGTATCAGCAAAACATCGTTGCCTTCATGCTATATGACGAACGTCACAATTCCTTCCAATCTGTCCGACATCGAGATGTCGCCTATGTGCGATATGACCGAATACGTACATAAATTATGAACATCACATCTTGGTATCAATTCCATTCACGACCTTCGTCCAGATTCACAGGTCTTTCCTACCACTGCGCCATGACAACTGGTCCCTGTACATTCACTGCACCAGGTGAATCTGGACGCCATGGTAGGAAAGACCTGTGAATCTGGACGTGTTTCTGCCCTCCGCAGGCCTCCTCACACAGCACTTGGGCCCCTACATTCGCTGCACCAGGTGCCTGTATTATGAGGCTGTGCATGTGTTTCTGCCCTCCGCAGGCCTCCTCACACAGCACTTGGGACCATGCGTCCCATTTCCCACCTTCAGATTGCGAAAATTGTCATCGTCGTCTGCCTTCAAAGTAGGGATCCGGGAATCCGCGTCCCCGGAGCTCCATCTTAAGGGCCCGGGAGTCGGTCCCATGTGGCTGTTGTCAAGCGTGTGGTCCCAAATCCTGTGTAGGTACCCACTGACAGACTTGTTCACATCCCATGACAGGATCACCTCTATCTAGGTTGGCTGGCTCATTCAAAGGGAAGAAAACCAAACCCTCAGCATTCGTTTATTCATATCGTGTGTATGTGGAGCTCTGTGTGTGCATGTGTGTGTGAGATGTGCGTGAGTAGAGTGTGTGTGTGTGTCTGTGGGCACACCTGCGCTCACATGCATGTGTGTGTGGACTACACATGTGTAGATGTAGAGCATTTGTGCTGGAGGAGCGAGCGAGCAAGCGAGAGAGAGAGAGAGAGAGAGAGAGAGAGAGAGAGAGAGAGAGAGAGAGAGAGAGAGAGAGAGAGAGAGAGAGAGAGAGAGAGAGAGGAGCTCCAACCCTAGGACCAGGGCTCAGCAGGTATGGACTTCTTGTTGGGGAAGAGAGCTGAGCAGGCCGTAGGTTAGCAGCCGGCGCTGGTAGTGCTGCAGTTCTAGCTTCTAGTTTACTGTCCACATCTTAGGAAGGGAGAGAGAGTGATGTGCAGGTGGGAAAGGTGTTTCAGCTTTGCAGGCCTGTGGACTTGTAGTCCTGTATGCGCTCAATGCCTTCTTCTGGGACCAGTTGATGGCTGCTGATTGCAGCAACGGCAGGGGGGCGTCATCATGTGAAGGTGGGGTCCTTAAGGGAAGATGCGGCCAGCACCGCTGGACAAAGCAACGCAAGGACTGGCATGCATGGATACGCCATCTCCACTCAGAGACCACTTTGCAACATGCACTCCTGATATTTCTGGTACGTCTTATTGGTAATGCTGTTCTTCATAGAAATATCATTCAAATATGTGTTGGGAGAAAAGAAGAAAGAAATAGTTAAAAATGTCTTTTACCCCCCCCCCAAAAAAAGCCCTGGCATTTTTATTAACAAGTCGAAAATTGAGGCCCGTGATGTCACAATTCTTCCTGGAGTTATTCTGGCAGCATTAGTCAGTTTCACTTTATAGCTCGACCGCACACAGCAGGACCTTGAGCCCTTGGCTATAGACTGCCTCTCCCTGTGCTTCGTATGTCCTCACTGCTGCTATCAGCTGATCGAGCTGTCGGCTGTTCTTGAAGCTCTAGAGTCAGTGAGGCTATTCGTCCACTTGGCTGATCCCTTGGAGGGTTGCAGCCTCGAATATTCTTCTCTTTACCTTCTCTGTATACATTTTTTCCTCATCTATCTCACTCATCCCCTCGCTACTCTTATGTACAGTACGGGGGAACACCAACCAAACCTGGATCTCTCCCATCCCCTCGGAGGAAGGTTTGTGCCACAGTAGTGGTGCGAGAGCAAGGCTTCTATCAACCCCTCATTGCGGTGATGCGGGGTGATCAGGCATTGCCGACAGGGAAACCAGTGATGCTAGTGTACAGCACTTATTGGCCAGTCACTTGCACATCCCCTTGCCCCCCTCCAATTAGCGGTGTCTAATGGCCAATATTGTTGCCGCATAGCAACCAACAACATTGGCCAAGCTCCTGCCAATGCTGGCTTGACGGACCAATGGGCGGGTTATCTCTAGCTGGAAGGACACCAAGCTTGCCCAGGCACGTTTGTGATGCCCATGATGCCAATGGGAATTGAACCCACGACCTCCTGAATGCAACTTGTGTGCCTTACCAACTGAGCTAGGCCCGCAGGCAAAGGAATAGGTATTGAATGTACAAGAAGTAGAGTCTGAATGAAGCACACATGTTCACATCACAGTTACTGTATTTTGTGGACGTCCACAGAAATGCAGTGTGCTTTTGTGTTCTAAGAACAGTCGGGAGCGCGAATCAGGAAAGAAAGATGAACCACTATAGGGCCAAGAAAGATGGGCACCCTATCGTAGCCCACAATGTTGTATTGAAGCCGTGGAATAAATAGGTTGGCTGCCGCTGGCAAAAACCTGAGCAGCGGCATTTATGATGATTGCATTTGCACTATGCTCTCTTTACTTGCAGCTGTGCTCTGTGCTTCCTCTACGGATGTGCTGTGCGTTTCAGTGCTGTGTGAGTCTTTGCCAGAGTGGTGCACATGATTTCGAGTTTGCAAGATGGGTCTGAAAGGGAAGATGCGCCTTTGGACATGTGATGAGTGTATACCTGGGGTATGACCTACCGTACGGTATACGTAGGGTAAACCTCGGGCATACCCTGCCCTAAGTATACCCTCAGGTACACCCTTCTGTGGGGTATACCCTAGGTATACCCTACTGTAGTTTATAAGTAGGGTATACCTAGGGTTTACCCTACCCTAGGTATACCCTTGGGTACACCCTACCGTGGGGTATACACTGCGGAAGGGTATACCTGAGGGCATCCCCTACAGAAGGGTATACCTGAGGGTAGTGTATACCCTAGGTTTACCCTATGGTAGGGTATACCCTAGGCCCACCCTACGTATACCCGACGGTAGGGTATACCTGAGGGTGTACCTAGGGTACCCTACCCTAGGTACACACTTGGGCATACCCTACCATAGGGTATATGTAGGGTGAATTTAGGGCATACCTTTTTATTACCTTGCCCTAGGCATACCCTTAGGTATACCCTTCTGTAGAGTATGCCCTAGGTATACCCTACCCTACGTATACCCTACCTTAGTGTATAAATAGGGTATACCTAGGGTTTACCCTACCCTAGGTATACCCTACCGTAGGGTATAGCTAGGGTATACCTCGTGTTTACATAGTGTAATATCAGGTTTGTGCTTAGTTTCAATTCGGAAGGTGTCTGTGCATGGATGTTGTGGTCTTCACCGGAAGATAATACTGCTGCTGGTGGTGGTGGTGGTGGTTGTAATTTGTGCGCGCAAAGTGTTAACTAGGTTGGTGGAATACCAGCAAGGCCGTGCAATTGGAAGGTTGACAGGACTGGTCTTTCATATGAAGTGCTTGCTGTACCGCTGCAATTGGCTATTCGTGATCTACTACACTGCCGAAGCCGATATGGCAGCGACATCGTCCAGGAGGGCAAATTCACTATCTCATCATGTGGCTGTGCCTTTTTGAAGTTACACCAGCTCAAGAGTTGGAGTTACAGTCCTTCGGGGCATCCGTTAAAATTGGAAAGATACAGAGAAGATTGGCATGGCCCCTGCGCAAGGATGACACATAGGGAAAAAAAAAAAAAAAGTTGGAGGCACAGGACAGCAACGAAGGAGGGTGAGCTGGATCAGGAGATTGGTCGCCGGATAGCAGGAGAAGAGCTGAGAATTTGGTCTTCGGTTAACACGCTGACCTACATTGGTGGGCCAATCTGGGACAGTCTGTATACAGTCCCGACTGTGGAATGTAACTCTCACAAAAGAGTTAACACAGTTTCAGGTGTTGACGGAACTGTGAGAAGAGGAGCGTGTGAAGTTCGAGGGGCTATACTTGCTGGGGATGGTAGCGGCATTGACGGCGGCAGTGCAACCGTCGCAAACGGAGTGATGGCCACGAGCTGGTTTTCCGCATGAACGAAACAAACCACCAGTGCAGTCGGGCTGGGACACACTCCACTGCGCGCCAAGCTTTTTGCCAAACGGCCACCAGCACACTTTTTTTGGCTTTTTGGGCTGGCGGCCCCAGCCATCGTGGTCCGGTGGGGCCGAGGCACGATATTTTCGGACGGGCGACAAGTTTGTTCTCAGCAAGGCTGGGCCATTGTACTGGCAGTTTAAAGCTGTCAGATTGATCTGCTACGGGAGAAGAGAAGAAGAAGAAGAAGAAGAAGAAGAAGAAGAAGAAGAAGAAGAAGAAGAAGAAGGAAAAGAGGGTTGGATTGAAGTGGAAGGAGGTTTCACAGTCCCTTCGGGACGTCCATTAAAATTGGAACGGGACAAGTTTGTTCTCAGCAAGGCCGGGGCAGTGTACTGGCAGTTTAAAGGTGTCAGATTGATCTGCTATGGGAGAAAGCAGAAGAAGAAGAAGAAGAAGAAGAAGAAGAAGAAGAAGAAGAAGAAGAATGAAAAGAGGGTTGGATTGAAGTGGAAGGAGGTTTTGCAGTCCCTTCGGGACGTCCGTTACAATTGGAACGATACAGAGAAGGAAGATTAGCATGACCCCTGCGCAAGGATGGCACTCATAAATCGAAATCGAGAAATGGTTTCAAGTAGGTGGAGCAGGTTCCACAACTTCCAGAATGTTCATTCTGAAGAAGGGGCTCAGATCCATAGCCCATGAAGGAACAGGGTAGGACTGAGATCCATAGCCCATGAAGGAACAGGGGTAGGACTCGGATCCATAGCCCATGAAGGAACAGGGGTAGGACTCGGATCCATAGCCCATGAAGGAACANAGGAACAGGGGTAGGACTCGGATCCATAGCCCATGAAGGAACAGGGGTAGGACTCGGATCCATAGCCCATGAAGGAACAGGGGTAGGACTCGGATGCATAGCAATCGATAGCGTAGGAGACGGAACAGGGTAGGAATCGGATCATAGCCCATGAAGGAAAATGCTGGGACTGTAGTGGCACCTCATTCAGATTGGAGGGCACAAAGGAGAGTATCCAGACCGAACTGGCAGATCATTCATTCCCCCTAGTATCCAGATTTTAGCCCGTGAAGGAGAATATTGAGTCTGAAATGCCATGTGATTTCCATTTCTTCATCGATGCCAACGGGGCATGAGTATTCGCCAGACTCCAGTTTAGAATCCGGTCAGGGTTTTGGGCTGGAAGTTTCATCAGATTGGAACTAATTTGGTCAACCATGCAAAGGTCAAATTGGGGGTTGGGGGGGTGGGGGGAGGGATATGTGGCAAAATTACTATTACCAGATTGGGGCTCGTTTGCACTGGAGGGGAGAATCTGGAACATGGTGGGCCTTGCTCTGCTACTCAACATTCGTTAAGTATGAAAGAGAGGAGGTGGAAGAATCATGGGGAGGAGGTCACTGGGAATGCACACTCTGCTTGCATTCTACACACACACACACACGCACACACACGCACACACACACACGCACACACACACACACACACACACACAATACACACAGACACACTGACACACTGACACTGTGTGTGTGTGTGTGTGTGTGTGTGTGTGTGTGTGTGTGTCAGAATGTTTGTTTTTTTCTCTCTTTTTCCCCCGGATGCTGTGGGTATGAACAGAGTGGCATGTGGGGTACACAACCGATGCAAATGCAGAATTTGCATTTCACCATGGAGGAGAAAACAAATTGTCAGTGGGGAGGACATAATTCAAACACACCCACACGGAAGCGAAACACACACACCTTAAAGACCTTTTCTTCAGAGCCACGCGCACCACATACAATATTCTGCAAAATGGGACGAAACATACACCACAATGACAATACTTGAAAATCCAGAAAAAAGTCGTTTTCCAAAGAAAAGGATCGTACGGCGAAGTCATTGTTCTGCAACAATGCACATTAGCTTCCTGCCCCACATGGCCCCCTTGCATCTTGTGGATAATTAATTCATCACCCACACATCCCTTACGACGGAAAACTTCGCCGCCACATTTTTTATCTCTAACAACTTCGCAGTGTAATCTACAAAGTAGTACAAACAGGGGGGTGAATAATGAAGGAGACCCCTCGTCGCCTCTGTGTGACCAGCTCCTCCAACCACTGCAGATGATCACATGATCAGCACGGCCACGCTCAGCCACCTACCACCAGTTATGCAACACTGTCACAACTTGTGACGGTCACTGCGACTACAGAATGCGATGCGATTCTGAAATCTATGGACGGCAAACAGGGGCACACGTGACGAGCATGGCATGGACTAGGGATGGCACAAAGCTTCCGCGATCTGTGACCGCAGAATGCGATGCATTCCTCCCCTTTAACCTGTGGACCGCAAACGGGGATGCTCGTGACGAGCGTGAACTAGGGATGGCACAAAGCTTCCACAATCTTTGATGACAGAATGCGATGCAATCCTCCCCTTAAACCTATGTGTAATCCGAATACAGGACTCGAACACAACCAACGGCTCGGCACGCAAACACCTAACCATAAGGCTAAGTGGGCTGGGGTGAAAGTGAAGCCCCAACATGAGCACTTCACCCCACCCCAGCACGGACATCCCGTGACACGGTGTACCCAACCACACTCACCCCTACGCAGCCACACTGCACATAGTACAATTTCTACGGCGGGCACTGGCCGGCAGACGGGGACACATGTGACGATCGTGAACAGTTACTAGGGATGGCACAAAGCTTCCGTGATCTTCGACCACATACTACGACGCAATTCTTAAACCTGTGACAAGCATGAACTAGCGATGGCACAAAGCTTCCGCGATCTTTATCAACGTGTTGCACATCATTCTGTGGGTCTCTTGGGCGAGTGAATACTTCTTCTCCCGCACTTTGACCACCCTCTACTTCTCAACTTGAAATATCTCTCACTGCCGGCATAGACTCGGAACGGTGCATTGTCACTTGCTTGCTCCATCAACTCGACCACCATAACGTCGCGCATTGCCATGATCCGAGTTGTGGAATCAAAAGCAATTTGCCAAACATTCTTCTGTTTTTGCACACCGTCCGATATGTCTCTGCAACCCTGCTCGAAAGTACGGCTTGCCGTCACGCCATCTGCATTGTCAGGTCGATGTTGTCACTGTCCTACTAGATATCATCCATTACAGGCTCCTTTGGAACAGCATCTACCGCACCCACTGACTCAGTGTCCGGCAGCTTCGGCGGATTGGTTTTGTTTGGTTGTTTGCCGACATTGTGTAGCAGATTGCATTAAAAAAAAAAATCCATTTACCCAACTTGAATTCCATTCAACCCCTTGTAGTAGATTGCATTAAAAAAAAAAATCCATTTACCCTTCGTTGTCAAGTCGAAGTAGTTAGGCCACCCGGGCAAAATCCCTCGAAATGGCGCGCCTTCTTGTACCGTTGGAGATGTGATGTGGTGGTCCCAATGTTTCATGCACTAATCAACTTTCTTCTGGTCTTCTGCACCCCCTGCTCCTCCAATCTCTTTGCCACATCCTCCCATTTCCATGTTGCTGACTTCATTCGCCGGCAATTATGCCCTAACCCCAAGCCAACAACTCTTCCTGATGTCTCTTGCAGCCCCCACCACTCATCGGCAGTCCAAATGGCTCGCCGGACGTCCTCATCACGCCCTGTCCCACCTTGTTTTCCTCGACACCCTTCATCTCCCTTGCCCTTTTCGATTCGTAGGACAACAAAGTCGTCTTCATCTTCGGGATTGAATCTCTTCATCATCTGGCCTTTCATCGTCGTCAGGGCCTCCGTCAGTATCCGCGTGGATGGTGGATTCACGCTCACAAATGTTGTCGATGTTGAAGCTCCTGGATGGCGCCAATCCAGTTCGTCTGCACCCACACCGCCACCTCTGCCGCCCCCCCTGCCGCAGGGCCTCCAACCTGTGCCCCTGAGGTGTGTTTCCTACAAAAATTGGGTTTCGGCAATGATAAACCTGAAATCTACGAATGCCGCACATCCAGCTATGCTTGGGAAGTGATACAGACCACTTGTACTAGTGATCATGCTGCGGACATCCCATTCGCAGATCTCGAGTCTCTCAGGATAGGGAAAAGGGGGGAAGGGCATCAAGCATATACGTGCAATGTCAGGACACATTATTCGTATCCCACATTCATCCATAATTTCACATATGCAAGAACACAACTTAAGCTGAGCAAAATCCTAAATTCACATTCGTGAGACATCACCCGCGAACATAACTATCCTTGGGACACCAAGATAAACCAGGAATGAAAGGAAAACTATATGTATTCAGTTGCAGACTCCATGCATCTTCAAAGATCACGAAAAATTTGAGAGGAGGAGGAAGCAGAAGAGAGAATGAAGCAATATGAATGAGAGGGCAAGAAAGAAGCAATACTAAGACGACACCCTCAGTTTCTTTTTTTTTTTTTTTTTTTTAGGACACCCTCAGTTAAGACTTGGAAAATTCCCAGATCACAACCCGATCTTCAAACATGCACCCTTTCTCCCTCTCTCTCTCTCTGCACAATCCACTTTCAAGAAAGGTGCAAGGAGTCCGTCGCCTCACACCCACCAACTACCCACAATCATCACCCTACTTAGCCCGATCACACAAGCCAGGTTCGCTCAACCCGTTGCAGCAACACGTCAGAGTGCGGGTTTGACGTGTTGGCCAGATCACAACCCGTTGCAGCAACACGTCAGAGAGAGGTAGATCCTGGTTGCATCATGTCGGCCAATGAGAGAAGAAAGAAATAATAAGCAGATGCATGAGCGCCAAAATGAACAGAAGGGGAGGAAAGGTAGTTATGCCCGAAGATCAAGAACGGAAGGAATGTCTGGTGAGAGTTGAGGCCACCCTGGGCTGAAAAGGCCACCGTTGTCAGATTAGACACAAGATTGAATTTACCTGGGCTGGTTAGTCCGATGATAATACCTCAAGGCCATCGCCCTTTTTTTTCTTTTTTTTTTTAAAAGAACAAAATTGAGGCGCAGGGTCAGAGGCGAAGGACTGCGTGCGCCAGAAAGAAGCAAAGTTGAGTCACTCCTTATACGGTGACCTATGCAAAAATTAACGAACCCAAAATCCTAAGCTAACTAAAATCTTAATTCCGAAGAAAAATCCCATTCATACACATAAGCTGCCACGCGACCCACAAATTTTCAAAATTCAAATGTGATTCCTCAGGGACTGCTACGTGAAAACTTCCCAGCAGACCATGCAATAATTCCGAAGTAAAAAGGAGAAAAAGACACATCATCTTTTATTCCTGCTCGCAAGGGCGGGTCCTAACTGCTGAAGCAAAACAAGTCACAAGTTGCAGAAATATCCCTCTTACATTACTTTGTTTTTTTTTTTTTTCATTTTTTTTTCATTTTTTAAAATTTGTTTTTTTTTTTTCATTTTTTTTAAATTTGGACCATTTCTCGATTTATACGTGTCATCCTTCCGCAGGGGCCATGCTAATCTTCTCTGTATCGTTCCAATTTTAACAGATGTCCCGAAGGACCAACTTAGACTTATCGTATATTTGCAAATATAATTTTAAAATAATAAAGGGGCAGCAACAAAGATCAGTTCGAGAAGTGTATAGGCCCACTTCAAGACTCCCGCCGACCGCGCCGGAAATCGTGCACAGACATATCTTAGTTCGTCATACCCCAACTTTGCACTCATTCCATCTAAGGATATTGCCGCCCTCTATGATGATGCATAGGCAGAACGGCGCTTCCACACCCCCCCCCATGAGATAGCACTCCTCCCCCTAACAATCCTTTGTGTATCCCATGTCTGTCATCTGTGCTGTGTTTATACAGTTGAGTCATTTTCAATTTTCAATTTTTCAACGTTTGGTTCTACTGGTCGTTCGTACGGGCCCAATGGTCGTTGGAACTTGGAAGGATGTTAAAATTGCAGGCAGGGGCTCTCTAGGGGGTTCGGGTGTCCTTGTAGGTGAGGAACCGGTAGGTGGGCGCAATCCTTAAAAACATCACAAAAAAAAAAAAAAAAAAAACACGAGGGCCCAGGTCTGAAAATCCGAACTGTATCCGAGCTAGACCTGGAGCCTCTTTCCCAGCCGAGGCAGGCGGCAGGCGCCGTTAGGAAGTTGGGCTAGAGCAGTTATTCTGAATCTGGGCTCTTTGCCGCGCTATATTCAGAAACAAAGAGGGGTGTGGGCTGCATCTCTCTCTCTCTCTCTCTCTCTCTCTCTCTCTCTCTCTCTCTCTCTCTCTCTCTCTCTCTCTCTCTCTCTCTCTCTCTCTC